GTAAAATAAATGTTTTTTTGTGTGTGGGTGGGGGGGGGGGGACAAGGACACATGTTCTTTACTGTGTTGTACACTGCTACAAAATGCATGTATTGCCCCAGCTCTCACATTTACACCAAAACCGCTGTTAAGGTGTACAAAGAGAGTCCTGAACACTGTTACAGTATATAGACGTAAGGCAGAACATGTCGTTTTCAGCCTGTGGTAGTCTACCTTGATGTGGCGGTACAGCTGCGTTGGAAAGCTCTCCTTCTCCACACGTTTTTCCTTGTTGCCAGGCATGTCAATGGTCATGTCAGTGGTGAGATGACCTGGATACTGCTGTAGTCTCATTGACTGTAGAACAGGGGATAAAGAATGGTCAACAGAAAACATAAAATAGCTGTAGTTATTTTCAGTGTTTGCGAGTAGTGAACCACATGTAGTTTAACTACATTTTGCAGTAGCTTGCTGGTAGTTCATATTTGCACACTCACTTGAGTAGTTAAATAACTTTTGGCCAATTTTGTGTTGTTAACTAGTGAAACGGCAAACAATTTTGGACCATAAAAGGAAAGGAATGATTTTTATTTTGCCATGCTTCATGTGGCAAGGACATTTTGAATGTCAAACAAAAATGCCTGTTGGATAAGAACTTTGACAGACTGCTCATGTGTCAGATAAGCAAGAGATTCCACACTGACAAGTAAAAAGATTTAGACCAGTGTTCAGGCTGTTCACACACAGTTTCAAAATCGAAGGTCTTTCAGAAACAGTTTGAATAGCACCTTCATTCCTTAAGAACAGTAGTTTCCCTCTATACTGCACACTGTGTATTACACATGGAATTAGGTTTTGACTAATGAGAATATGACAAACAATTTTGTCCCCTGAAATATTTTGCTGGCAGCACTTGCATAACCAACATGGGCATCACCAAGAACCTTCCCCTTTATGAACCAATCTCTCAGTTTAAATGACAAAAAAAATAGCACAAATCAGTGAGGTGTATTTCTGTGGGAAGCATATGGAATCACTACTGTTACTGATACTGAGCTCAGTGTTAAAATATCAATTAAGTTGCTTCACTGAGAAGAATATAGATCAGCATACTCACACTAACTTGTTCCAGGAGACCCATGAGGCGAGAAGGAGGCACCACACTGACCTCCCTCACCAGGGCCTCAGCTATTGCCCTGCGCCGCTTCTCCTTGCTGCTGCCTTTCGTGTATGCCTTCAGTGGGAGCAAAATGATGCTACTGTTTAAAGCACTTCTTAGTTTAGTTGTATAAAAGTAAAAGGAACTTTTTTTTTTTTTTACCTCACGGGGGTCAAAGTAGGAGCACATTAGCAGGTTCTCCAAGTGCATGTACCTCTCTGGCTGAGTCTGCTTCAGCATGATCATTGGGTCAGTCTGTTTGAGGAGCGAGCGAGCTGCGCCCACCTCCCTCATTTCAATGAGCTCCATTACAACCTGTTGGAGAGGTCAGCGTTCATCATATGCTGCTAATTAAAAAAAAAAACAAACAAGCCAAGAAATATCTGATCAATGCAAAGTTCACCTGCTCGTAAAGGTCGATAAGTGTGTTGTCAGGCAACTTAAGGGACTCGATAGCCAGCAGGACGGAGTCCCAGTGGCCGCTGTTAATATCTGCAATGAAACTGTCTATACTTTCCACTGTGTTGAGTGAAACAGTGGTTTCCTCCTGTAATGTGGTCAGTGTTCGGTAGAGGTTGTTCTCCTTGAGGTACTGCATAATTAGGCGGATCACACTACAGAGACAAGAAGGATAACTCTTATAGTCCATAAGACTGTAGAGTGTATTGTGTAGGACCTGTTAAGTAAAGTGTTAAGAAGTGGCTCGAATTTGTTGAAACACGGGCAATGTTTGTATTAGGGGTAAACCATAACACTTCAGTGCCTGTGTATCTTTTTTTAAGAGGCAGTATCAGTGTTAATGACCTGTTCCCACATCAGAGCCACCTCTGGGGACTTCACAACCCTCTGCCTTGTCAGTGTCACTCTGCAGGACTGAGTTCTGTGGCCTTTCATATGCACTTTCAGGCAAAGATGCTTGATACTAGCACTGTCAGGTGATTAGACTACCATTGCACTGAGCCAGTCTACACTAAACGTCCTCTAGAAGCTAATTTGATAAATAGGCACATGCGGACGAAGCAGACACTAGTGACTGCAAAACAGCTTGGACCCGCCTCTTAACATAATCAGCAAAATCATAATCGTAGTTAAATGGCTCAAAAAAACCATTCGGAGCAGCCTCACATGCAAAACCGACCAAACACACATGCACACTGACCACAATAAACAGTACGGTATGTATATTTGTGATTGGAGGAAAGGTGGCCGGTAAGACGCCACATGGGTGCAACTGTCAGCAGACAATATATAACAGCGTCATAGAAAACATGCTTCTTTAAATTAAATATATATACGCACACATGTCATGCCTAACAAATATTGTCATTATAGGGATAAACTTTTTAGATTGAAGCAAACATAGCAGGAAATTTATAATTCCCCAAAAGAATATTATAAACAATACACACAATCTACCAACTTAATGTGCAATGTAACTGGATGCCCATTACAGACCGCCGAGCACATATGTAAGAAAAAACTGTTTTCTTTTTGAATTGTGACACAGGTGGTCTCATCATTACTTTTCCGTTATCATCACCAAGCTATCACTGAAAACGTTTTGTTGAGAAATAAAAACCCAGTCATAAAGCGGACTTACTCTGCGGGTTCCATCCTCACAGCCATGCTGTTCTCGTGGTGTTGCAGCACCAGACTGACGGTGCGGCGGCTCGGCGCTTGCCAGAGCCACGTGAAAGCCGTGTCCTGAGGACCACCCACTACACGTGCTTCTCTTGTGTCTCATTTTTGCGTCGGGAAGCAGTCCCAAACCTTGTCATTATAGCTGCCACACAAATAGTTTGAGCTACACCACGTCCTTGGCGCGTCCTGATATATAGAAGAATGATGTACTGGGCATGTTGTGCACAGCAGACGCGGTCTGCGCTCCAAGATGCTGCAGCGGCAGTCAGCCATAACAACAGCAGCATCAGCACCACGGACAGAACCTCGTGCCTCAGAGCGTGCTCGCCTTTAGGAACAGGAGCCAAAACGACGCTCCAAAATGTCCTCTAACGGAAATCCACCTCTGTCCCATCATCAATACGCAGACACAGAGCTGGGTGCACATGTGCTTTATGAACAGCTTTGCCTTGAGCCTTTTGTTTCTCAAACTTAATGCATGTATGACTACCAGCCACCGCTATTTCCTGTGTTTAAATTGTGGATATAGCCTAATGCTGTAGTGGGTTGTGTTAATCTGCGACGTTTGCCACTACAGTGATCATTTTAAGACTATTTAATCTGCATACTTATAGCCCCAAGCCTCTAACTAAATCTGAGTGAAAAGTAGAAGGAAACTGCGGATAAAATACAAAGAATTAGTCAAAATTCTGTGGTTTAGGCAGCTTGTTCTTGGAATGTAGGGCTTCCACAGTCAGTGTTGCCAACTAAGGAAGGTAGCTAAAGCCTGGTGGAAAACTCGCTAGATGACGTAACGCACTTGTTTGCTTATTGGTGTTGTCACACATACCGATATTCTAATCTCGCACAGCCAGACCTCTGCTTCCTGCAGCTGTTCAGGTTATATAATGTTAGAAAATCCCCGAAAAGTGTCCAAAAGATGGTAGCCAAAATGCATTCACTAAAGCACATTTCAAAAGTCAAATTACCAAACCAAGAAGCCTACTATACTGGCCACTTTTTAAATCATTGTTTCTATCACTTTTTAAACCTATTTAAATGATATGGAAGCACACTGCATTCAAAAGAAAAATACTATCAGAAGCTCTGCACACGGGTTTCTTTGTGATATTTTTAAAACATAAGGTAAGATTTAAATATGGGGAGGAAAAACTCCAGAAGAAACCAGATACCGGCTCTTGGTGGGAGGCCATCTGTCTCGACCTGTTGGGGTGCAGAAAATAAGGCTGTGATGGCCGAGTGGTTAAGGCGTTGGATTCGAAATCCAATGGGTTCAGCCCGCGTAGGTTCAAATCCTACTCACAGCGGTGTTGTGTTTCACCTTGACAGTTATGTTTGTATGGTTTCCCTTTAGGTTAATGCAGGACTTTCTTGCCAGATTTGCCACAAAGTCTGACCTGAACAGAACTAAAACTGCTCATAGGCTATACTTAAAATAGAAGTGTCATCAGTAAATAAATTGTTAGTTAATTAATACATAGAATAAGCTATATAACCTTGGCTACTAAAAGAAATGTAACCATGCTTGCTCTAATTTTACATTTGTGAAAGAACTATGGGGCCTATATTTTGCTATGAAAATAGTGTTCAATTGGTAGGCTACACCTCCAATAAATTAATTCTGTTTAATTTCAAAGCATTGACACTCGGTACACTTTCAGCTAAAAGTCAAATAATCCGATTTTTTTCTATAGAAAAACTTAGACTATGCAATAACTAGACAAATGCATTTCCTGAAGAAAATGTGTGTGAATGTGATTGCTGAAGAATTGCTCTGAAAATGCTGAAATGGCTGAAATCCATAGCTTGGTGGTTAATGCCACTGACTTTGGTACGACTTCATCATGCCTTTTTCTGTGTTGTGATCTGCCACTTGTTAGGGTGATTTTTATTTTATGCACTTAAGAATGGTTTTATTTTATAGCACACATAAGTTTACATACTTATATGTCACAGTTATGTTTATATAGTTATGAATATCACCCTATGTGTTCACTGAACCACTGGTCAAATATTTGCTGTGTGAGTCACTGAAACACTAATGCAACATCATAAGTCTTGTCCACTAAATTACTGAATTTAATTAGATTTACGGCTGTAGCTAAGGGGGCTCATAGTTACTTATCGTTCCTCTGGACCGGTGGACCCAAAGGAGTCTTGGTACGGTAAGACTCCAAGATTAATAGAGTAGATGTAGATGAGAAAGCTTCAAAGGGAGAATAGTTGTGCACACACACACACACACAGGCAGAACAGTTTTAATTAGTGAAATGGAAAGAAATGCCTAATATGGAGCAGTTAGTTGGAAACAAAGGAAGAAGTGAGTGTGTATGTAGGAATTAAAGTAGAACAGGTATTCTTCCGCTTCCTAGGGCACTGTCCATGATGATTGGAGCAAAGAGGACCATGGAGGATGGACGGACTGAAGGACCAATAACGGGAGAGTTAAGTCTAAACCACGGCTTCTCCCCAACAGTTTTTTGACCAGTTAGATAGTAGCACCTTTTCATACAAATATTGTATACTCACAAGTTGAGGACAGTCTTTTCTGTTTATCCTAAACAGTGAAGATCCACGTGCACATGCTAATTTTGATATGTTAATGCATAATAAAATTCACACTGTGAAATATATATATCCTTTTTTAGTCTTCTCTCCTCAATATAAAGAACACGCTTCACACGCTATATAGAAAATAAAATTAACTTCACCTTCAAGGGGCGACAGGACACTAATATTGCTGCAAATAAGATACAAAACACTGACACAGTGACATTCATATGTCTTTCTCCCAGAGCCTTCAGTCCTAGTGTTAGGGCCCTTCGTGTACGCCAGAGGCACTCAGCTACATCGCTGGATGGACATGGTCAACACTCCACAGGAGCCGGTGAAGCTGTGGCACGGATTGGGTAGATACATTTAAGCAACCAAACATGAACAGATCCATAAACACACATGTGCATGTACATACACACAGATTCTGAAATAGAATAAAAGTGCTAATAAATGTGTTCATCGTTTGTAAAACACCTTGAGGCGATTTCCATCTCCTAATAAATGCGTGTCTAGATGAAAGGTGTGTTTGTAATTGCATGTGATTTTTACTTTCAATCTAAATAGAATAAATGAATGTAACGTTATGGCATTCTCATAATACAGACATTGAAAAATCTACCATTTCCCCTTAATACATCTGTGGGCAGAATGGTCTCCATCATGTGATTTGGTATCAAGCTGTTATATGAATGGGACGTACAAGGGTTGAATTTAGTTTATTGCTATAATCGCTCCTAATGGTGTTTATGTCTGGTTTGGCACCATGAAGATAAACGAGAACACTCTATTGGAGGGACACAAAGTTGTGTTGGTTTCTTATAATGCAAAGCACATGCCCAGGTAATGTTAATATTAACACCTGATTGGTCTTGTTACACACACGAAGTTTGTCAGTTTTCTTTTATTTTCCTCTGCTGATATCTTTAGTGATGAGTGTTTGAATGTCATTTTTTTACTATTGTTAGATTTTACCCAAGTTCTTTTATTGAAAGCGCGAGAAGTGAAGACAGAAGAGGACTGTTTAAAATCAACAGGAAGTTTACTCAAAGTCTGGGCACAGGTGAAGTCTTACAGCACTGGGATGTGAGAGACAGAGCTCCCACAGGAAATCTGTTCTCTGAACAATGAGTTATGTTTTCTCATTACATTTATCTTCTTGGGCTAGGCCTGCCCTGGACAGAGGTACAACATTTCACA